TCAATCTTCCCGAAGGCCTTGTAGGCGAACTCAAAGGCCTTCGAGACGGGACTGCCCGCCAGAATGCTGCCATTGGTGGTGGGGTTGAGGAGGTTGCCGCCGCAGGCGATGTGGTCGCCCGCCTCGAAGCCGATGAAGGTGGCCGGCGTGGGCCAGGCAGGCAGGGCGGCGGCCGCCGCCGCCGGCTGATCTTTGATGTTCAGCTCCTCGCCGGAGGGAAAGGCGCCCGCCATGATGTACAGGTGCGCCACCTTCTGCCGCACCAGCTCGGCGCCGGTGGCGGTGGAGTAGCTGTCGGCGGTGGTGGCCAGCAGGTTGGCCAGGTTGGTGAGGTAGCCGATGGAGAGGAGGGTGATGCTCTGGTCGGCGGCGGTGGTGGCCAGCAGGCGGCGGTAGAGGCGGACGGCGTCCTCCGCCTCGGAGTTGTTGCCGAAGCGAGGGTGCGGGAAGTGGGCGAGCACGTACTCCGGCCAGCCCAGGGTGCCGGTGGTGGCCGACGCCGCGGGGTCCTTGGTGATGCCGATGGGAATGGAGGAGCGGTTGAAGTAGCGGTTCAGTGCGTCAATCACCTGAACGGCGCCTGGTTGGGGGTTGGAAAATAGAGATTAGAAGCCTGTTTTTAAGGTCAAGGTTTTTCCTTGATGACCACTACTCACCTTCGTAGCGATTGTTGGACATGATGGCGACAATCTCCAGCAGGCCTCGATCGGCGTAGGTGTGCAGCATGGAGAGGGCGCCCACATCGTCCGGCCACGGGCCAATGTCGGTGTCGACGATGAAGCGGGCCGCTGAAGAGCTGCTGCTCGGTGGTGGTGGTGGAGACCTTGAGCTGAGGTGCTGCGAGAAGAAGGCCATGGCCAGGCCGATGGTGCCCAGACCGGCGATGATGCCGGCGGAGATGAGAGCACGTTTCAGAATGCTGCTAGGCATTTCGGGTGAATCTGTTGAAGAAAAGAAAGAGTTTAGCTGTCGTCAGCAAACATAGAGCTCCGGGAAGCTGCACAGCTGTTGTTGGCTGCAAAGTGTCTCTCTGGTGAAAACATATCGTTCTTGCACCGAAACAGATACACACTCTTATGGGGCAATCTTATCGCGNGACCTTGAGCTGAGGTGCTGCGAGAAGAAGGCCATGGCCAGGCCGATGGTGCCCAGACCGGCGATGATGCCGGCGGAGATGAGAGCACGTTTCAGAATGCTGCTAGGCATTTCGGGTGAATCTGTTGAAGAAAAGAAAGAGTTTAGCTGTCGTCAGCAAACATAGAGCTCCGGGAAGCTGCACAGCTGTTGTTGGCTGCAAAGTGTCTCTCTGGTGAAAACATATCGTTCTTGCACCGAAACAGATACACACTCTTATGGGGCAATCTTATCGCGGCCACTTTTGATAAGTTGAGCTACTAAGATTAAGAGTTTAATTACCCTCTGTTTAATGACGTTGTAGTTTGATGAGAAAAGACCGGTATTTCAAACGCTGCCGTGCATCCAGCGTCTATTTTCGGTAGAAAAAGATGGTGGCATTTTCTGAGAATCTTTATGGGCCTTAACAATGAACCTTCACGGCTTCTAGTCTACAGGATCAACAAACTTACCTTTTCTTGCAGATTCAAGGACTTACTAGAGCTGTTGATTCTTGAAGACAAAAAAGAGTTCAGGTAGTAAAAGGGAATGACAAAAAAGGTGCTTTTGACTTGAAAAAAAACCGCGAAAGATAAGCAACTGCAGGGAAGACTCACTTTCCTGCCTCGGCGCAACTTTCCGGACACTTTCTCACATGCTCGAAAACGCACAATCCACGTTTTCCTTCTTCTTCCACTGCTCACACGCTGATCACACGCTCTCTCGGAAAGGATTTCAGTGATCTTTTAGTGACGCAATCTGTGTCGCTTCTACATTTTTGCAACTCTTCAGTTTTACCGGCAGCGATCAAGATGGCGGTTACTCTCCCGCCCCGACCCGAGGATCTCATCAACCTGAGCGGAAACATGAGCGTCCTCTACCCGCCGGGCTTTTTCGGCGCCAGCGGCTCAATTATCACCATCATCGTGCTGCTGGTGTTCACCTTCATTCTGGCCATTGGCAACTTGGTAATTCTGGTGTATCTCTACAAGATGGGTAAGTGCTTCAGTGTTTTCGGTGTCTGTACAACCCTCTCTCATCAAACTAATTTTTGTTCTTTGTTCCCGAAAAATAGCGAACGGCCTTAACGACCGCGCCGAAACTTCGCTGAAAAACATGGAAAAGTACGTCTGGGACTCTCGCAAGTTTTGCAATGAAATGAAGGCTGAAATGAAGAAATCCGCTACAACCGCTGCTACGCCTTCGCCGCCGAACAAAACCACAAACATCGAGGAAGGGCAGGTGATGGGCGGTGATGATGGAGATGATGGATTGAAGAACAACACCGTCAACATCAACAGCAGCCGCTTCCTGAGCAGCACTCCCGATCGCAACAGCCGCAGCCATAGCCACAGCCGCAGCCACCACAGCAAGGACGTCTCTCACCACAATGTCGTCGACGACGTGGAGATCATCTCGCCCATTTCCGGCCAACGCAGCTACGGCCACACCAAGCCGAAGGTGCACTCCCCAGAGCGCTTCCCACTGACCCAGCTGTCGTCGACGGTCATTCCTGAAGTCAGCAGCCACCGCGACCAGGCTATGGAGCTGATGTCCAACGCCATTGACCAGTCCTTTGATCGAATGCTGGACAAGGTGGATCGTAACCCGAATAAGACTAAATGAGCCACTGGAGCCGCGCTCACCTTTTTGACATCACAATCTGATGTAAGAGTGAATGGCCGCTCTGTTGCCANAAGTCAGCAGCCACCGCGACCAGGCTATGGAGCTGATGTCCAACGCCATTGACCAGTCCTTTGATCGAATGCTGGACAAGGTGGATCGTAACCCGAATAAGACTAAATGAGCCACTGGAGCCGCGCTTACCTTTTTGACATCACAATCTGATGTAAGAGTGAATGGCCGCTGTGTTGCCGNTGCACTCCCCAGAGCGCTTCCCACTGACCCAGCTGTCGTCGACGGTCATTCCTGAAGTCAGCAGCCACCGCGACCAGGCTATGGAGCTGATGTCCAACGCCATTGACCAGTCCTTTGATCGAATGCTGGACAAGGTGGATCGTAACCCGAATAAGACTAAATGAGCCACTGGAGCCGCGCTCACCTTTTTGACATCACAATCTGATGTAAGAGTGAATGGCCGCTCTGTTGCCAGGCCTTCCCCAAATATCTTTTCATCAACTTTCTACTACTAATCAACCTCTCTCCAAATTCTCTCTCTCATTCAATTTTACTCAACTTAATCCCCGATACTCTTCTACTACGGCGACTACTTTTTCATTCTACTACCAGCAAAATCTCATTTGTTACTCTCAACATACCATTTTTACGCTAATCTAAATCTACTCGGCACTAGGCCATTCCATTCTTTTCTCATTTACCCGGTTAGTATAACTCATTAAAGATTTTTACCTTTTGTCAAAAATTCACGAAAACGTTCTTTGACAATCAAGTTGTATTTTTAACCAAAAGCGTACACAAAACATAGAAAAGACGAGCTGATATAATCGATCTCTCTGACACATCAGAAGTCTTGTGGCGGAGAAAACAAACGGCAAAAAAGTGAAACACAGTGCCGAATTTTATAGAAGAAGTGGGAGGGGAGGGAGAAGAAAACACAGATTAAAAATAGGTCAGGCCAGTCCTCGGTGCTCCACAGTGACAGACGCAAAGGAGAGACACCGGTTAAGTATTGCATCGGAACGAGGGTGAGAAAAGAGGGGAAGGGAATGATGACCAGATTATGGCATTGTGAGAGAGAGTGTGAGTGTGAGTGTGTGACGAGAAGTGGGCCAAAGGAAAAATAAATAAATTGTGGTGGTGCAAAGAATGGTGCAACCGAATCAATCAAAGAATCTCCTGTGACAGGGTAGGAAGCAAAAGAAGTAAGGAAGTAGGAAGAGACAGCGACTTGAACGGTCNAATCAATCAAAGAATCTCCTGTGACAGGGTAGGAAGCAAAAGAAGTAAGGAAGGAGAAGGAAGAGACAGCGACTTGAAGCCGCTGCTGCTGCTGCCCTCAAACTGGCACACTGTTCTTCGGGTCCCGCCGGTAGAGATCGTCCTCAGAGTCGGTGTCGTCGGCCTGGTCGCCCGCCTGGTCGTCCTCGGTGTCGGAGTCCGACTCGTAGCGCATCTCCATCTCATCGTAGACGTACCGCCAGTCGCGAATTTCGCTGTTCTTCCACAGGTACGAGTGAAGGGGCTTGCACTCGCAGAACTCAATCAGGTTGCGGAAGAAGCCCAAACTAGAAAAGGGGGATTAGTGAATGTGTTGTTCAGGCACTTCTCACCAATGTTCTACTCACTTGTAGGGGTTCCGGTAGTTGCCGCTGCGCTTGTCGCGCTTAAAGTGCCGGTACCGATCACAATTGATGCGCTCATTGGTGGTCATGCCCAGTGAGGCGATCTGGCAGTGGTGGAGGTGGAGGTGGTGGTGGTGGTAGTAGTGGTAATGAATGAGAAAAGGGGGGGGGAAGAGGGAAGGAAAGGAAGAAGAGATGAGGGTGATACTGGTAACTACTACTCAGACTGCTTCAGGCTGCGGTGCTGCGTTCGATTGGCGGCGGCGCTTATAAAGTACCTGATAGAGTTGGCAGATCAGAAGACAGACGATCCAGGCGATGTGGATGAAGGAGTTGAAGAAGCACCAGGTGATCCACCCGTTCAGGCGCATCGCGTGCGCCCACACGTCCAGTATGGAGGTGTCACTGCCTCCTCCTCCCCTTCCGGGCATCTGCCGCGTGTCGACAATGTACTGGTGGCTGTCGAGGCGATGCTTCCCCTCCATGGCTGCTGCTGCTGCTGCTGCTCCTCCCTCTGAGGCACTACCACTGCCCGGCTCCTGGTCTTCAAGGCGCAGGTAAAGGGCATCGAATAGGCTCCAGTCTATTTGGAAACGATGATAATGTTTGCTGTTAGAAATGACTTCAAGACAAACAAAACGGAAAATGCTTACACTGAATGGTAGCCATGAAATAGTAAATAAGCACAATAATTAGCGACATGAGGTACCAGATGAAGTACTTGTGATTGCGCGAGCCGACGCAGTTGGAGATCCAAGGACTGTGGTTGAGATAAAGGCTGTGAGAAAAGGAGTTTAAAAGTACTTGTGCAAATACTTACCAATGATGATCAAATCGGGAGACGCACCGATTGCAGATGCTGCAGTGCTTCGACCGTAGTGGCTTTCGCACCAGACAGGTGCTGCAGAACCAGCGCGGCTCAAAGCCCTCGTGCTCTGCCATGTCCACAATGGTCTGAAGTTGGAGTTAAGGAAAATGGTTAAAGGTTCCAAATTATCAAAATCCCATTTCTCGGTACCTTAATCTGCTCCTCTCTGCTGTTGGCCACGTAGCCCGGGTCGCTGCGCCAGGCCTTGTAGAAGCTGTAGAAGAGCCAGGTGGAGGCGAGGAGAAAGAGAAAGAGGTCCAGTGGAGAAAGTACTAGTAGAGAAAAAGGGGCAAAAAAGTTACAACTCAACCTAAAGCAAAAAAAAAACAAAATCGACTTACCAAAAACAAAGTACTGGAAGAAGGTGACGTAGAGCCAGAACTTGGTCGACAGGTACAGCGAGATGGCCAGTACGTTGAGCTGCGTTGTGTCAAAGACGAAGGTGACACAGAGATATAGTGAGCCGATGAGGGCGATGAAGGCGAAGGCCTTCGTGGACATGAGTACATCACACTGCAGTAGCTTGCCGATCAGGTAAAAGTAGATGAGAGGCGTGGCGGCCATTGCGTAGTAGCGAAACTGCGGGTCCCGCGGCGAGGGAATGCGCACCTCGCTGGTGGCGGAGGGCGAGAGCTTGAAGCGGGCGAGCGGCTGCTTCGCCTCACCCCGCCGGCGGTACTCGTTGAAGAGCGAGGAGATCCACTTGAGGTTGAACTTGGCCGCCATGTCCGCCGGCGTGTCGCCGGCGATGTTCTTGAACTGCGGATTGGCGCCGTGCTTCATCAGCAGACTGACGGCGGTGGCGTTCTTGGAGAGGACGGCGCAGTGCAGCGCCGTATTGCGGTTGCGGTCCGTCAGCGAGAGGCTGGCGCCCAGGGTGATCAGCATCTGCGTCGGGTCGACCCTGGAAAAAAGAGAATCAGTGAATTGAGCTTAATTGGGCGACCTTAGCTTCCAAACACACAAAAGACCCCACTTACGTGTTCTTGCGCAGCGCCGACCACATGAGCGGCGTCATGCCGTTCAGGTCGGGCGCGTTGATGTCCTGGCCCTTGGCGATGAAGTAGGCGACGATGGAGGTGAAGCCCATCTGCGCCGCCAGGTGCAGGCAGTTGAAGCCGTCGCCGTCGAAGAGGGAGGGGTCGGCGCGGTGCTGCACCAGGAGGACCACCATCGCCAGGTGGCCCTGGCGGGTGGCCCAGTGCAGCGGCGTCGACTTGAGGTCGCCGCCGATGGCGTCCACCACCGCCCCCCTGGCGATGTAGTACTTCACCAGCTCGAGGCGGTTGTTGATGGCCGCCCAGTGCAGCAGCGTCACGTTCTCCGCGTCGCGGCGGTTGATGTCGAAGCCCTCCGCCTCGATCAGCTGCCGGCACCGGTCAAAGTTGCCGTACTGCGTGGCGCGCACCATCTCCGCGACGACCGGGTCGGGCCCGGGCGGCGGTGGCTGCTGCTTCGAAATGGTCGCCTCCTCTTCCTCCTCTTCTTCAGGAGATTGTGAGTGCCGGCCAAGCACTGCCGGCGGCGCCGGTGGCGGCGGTGAGCCGCTCGGTGAGCTGAGGTTCGATCTGAAGGCATCGGGGCCTTTGGTGGAGGAGGCCGAGTGATTTGATCTGCCATCGAGACTGCCGCCGTCATTGCTGCTGCCGCTGCCGACGGCGATGCTGCCCGGAGAGGGATTTCCCGAGGAGAAGTCCATCTGCATGCTGACATTGCTGCTGGCGTCATTGGGCGTCAGCTGGGCGTCCCCGTCGAGTTCGATTAGCGTCTGCAAAAGGAGAGAATTGAGGTTTTTAGGAAAGGATCACCTTAAAAGAAGAACACACTTACCGGCGTCACCGTCAATTCTGCTGCCGCTGAGGCAGGAGTTAAACTTGCGGTGTTGTTTATATCATTCGGGTTGAGCATCGTTGGTTGATTGAGGAGTTCTTTTTTATCACCTTGCTGTCTTTGTTGTTGTTGTTGTTGTTGTTGTCGCCGTTGGCCAGCAGCTGACTAGAGCTGTTCAGGTGTGACCACCAGAGCGGTGGTGGATGCGGTTAGAGTTGAGAAAGAGAAAGAGAATCAGCTGCAATGGTGGTGGTGGTGCTCAGGTGGTGGTGGTGATGATGATATCATGGCCGTAAAAGGAGTGTGCAACAACGGCGTGCGTCAATCTCCACTGATCACTCGATGGCTCTCTGGAACAGACAGCCGCAGCGGCCGCCGATGCCGTCAAGTGTAAGGGAACAATATCAAAGTGAGTGTCTTTGGCAAAGCCAAAAATCTGTGGGATTGCAAACACAGAAAACACAGAACACAAACAGTGACGCTCTCTCTCTCTCTCTCTCTGCTGCCCATCAAGCACCCACAGTCAGAGCAGTGCCCCACTTTCACTGCTCTGCTCTGCCTTCCTTCCACACGTGCTGCTGCCCCGCTAGCACTTGCTTGCCCACTCGCTCGGTGGTCGGCACGGACCACTTTGCCGGGAAGGTTGAAAGTTGGGTTGCACTTTACTCGATCCTGGATCGCCCTCAAAGTATTTTTTCTTCTTTTTCTTATGGTAAACAGTTTTGTGGAAGAGTGCACTACATCAACTTCTTTTGAGAATAGTGGTTCTATTGAATTCTATTGAAGTCGTGTTGGGGTACTATAGCCTTGAAAATGCTTAAGTGTGGTGGTATTGTTCTATTGACGTGTTTTAGAACATTACGAACCCTTACCCCCTGCATATAAGCAGAGGTTCAACTTGACTTTAGGTAACTCTTGCTACTCTTATCTAGCCTGTTGTCAGTCGTGTATGCCTCTTGCCCATTAAACTTGTTACATAAGGCAATTCGTATTGTCTTCTACTGCTTAGCTAGGCTTCAGGAAGAAAACTGAGTTACCTGGGGTAAGTAAAGTGAAGAGGACAAGCAGTGCTCAGGTGGCTAGGAGAAATAGTATAATCCAAAGTGAGCCACAGTATAAGAACATGTTTTTTTGGCTGACAGGAACGGATGGCAGCTGATGTTTCAAAATGTGCTTCAATCCGCTGACTTCAACTTGGACCATGTGTGCCGATGCTTTCATCGCTCTTGCATCTTTCTTTGACCTACTACTTTTGAGAAAACGATTTTTGGTTTATTTCAAGTTTCTTTCCATCACACCGGATCAATCCACTGAAATATTTGCTAAAGTTGCTAAATTAGAAAATGCTTGCGCTAAACCAAAGCACCGCCCGTCTTTATCTCCTAGACAAAAATTTTCCGTTCGTCCAACTGTACTTCTTCGCTTGATCACACCGTCTGGTTTCTCCATTACAGTCCGAGCTATACTAGATTCGGGTGCTTGGAAGTCAGTTGTTTTCACAGATTTGTCAACTTTGTTGGCAAAAAATGGTGCCAATTATAAGCACGTTTGGCCCTATGGGAACTTTATGCCGTTTTGGGAACAAAAAACTTTGATATATCGCGAAATGAGTGGGCTGAAATTTCAATCAGTAGAAAATGAATCACTGTCATTTACAACATCAATTGCAGTGGACGAGAGCTTTGCTTATATGACAGAGGATCTGCCGGTTGATTTAGTATTAGAAAAGATGGCTTTTTTTGAACTGCCAATGGTTCAATCATCGAGTGAGCTGGGAAGGACTATGTGGTCACAAGAAGTGCCAAAGTAATGTTTATTGTTTAAAATGTTTCCTTTTCTAATTTTCAACCCTCACAGTTCCCAGTACCGAGCTGACATGCTCATCGGTCAGGACTTGCTGAATGCTCACTTTAACATGACACCATTGCAGCCAACGTATCACATCACTTTATCACTGGCCATCATCAGAACCAAAATGGGACTGGCTTTTATTGGTCACTTTGATACAGAGAAATTCAAAAAGTGGTCGTTGAGTGCAACTGAAACTCAAAAGATAAAGGAAACACTGTATCCAGAAAGTGATGGTAACGAGTTTGAATTATCGCTTATTCAAAAAGAAGAGCTTAACAACATTTTGACTTACAAAGTTTCTGAAATCAAACAGAGCTGGAGGGAATTTATTCGTAAGAAATACCTTTTTTCAAACTTGTTTTTAACATTTCTTTTTTAGATTTTTTTTGTAATTGGTTCATTAGCATTCACGTGCTTTGCTTTGTGGTTCTTTTTTGCTTTGTGGGTTTGCTCTTCAAATACCTTCTCATCATTACTTGTGCACATCGAGTAACGGCTATCAGTTCCCTCTACTTCACCTATCTGTATTACCTCTTTTCGCTTTCTTCATTTCCAATCGAAATGTTCATCAATTTTACCAGCGGTCTTTTTTGTCGGTGGCTGAATAGCAGTTCCATTGGCCTTGACCAGATGTTCTTCAGTATAAAGCCTCTACTTCCGCTGACTGTGAAGAGTAAAACCGGCACTAAAACTGTGATGGCTTTAATTGACACTGGGGCTTCAAGCTCATACATTTATGCGGAGTTAGCTGGCGAACTTTTTTT